CCTTACTGGTTTGATCACAGGTTCAATTTTTAAAACATTGGCTAATCTGTTGGTACAAGTTTCAAATTTGTCTTTTTACTATCTCATAAAAGATCGAGACTTACCCAATGCTCTCCAACATTTATTTGACGATTTGTCTCTAAAAAGATTATTGATTAAAAGAAGAAGTATTCAATAACAAGTTCTCAAAATCTCATTAGTATCTCTTTTCTTATTATTAGTACCACATTATTTTTTAGTGAATAAAGAGTGTTTTGTCCAAATTGTTTTATTTTTAAGAGTTTTTTTTTTGAAGTGAGATTTTTTTATACCAATGGCAACTTTTCTATTTAAGAGAAATTACTGTATTTTTACATTAGCTTTACCTAATTTGTATTGATATTTAAAATTCACAAAATCAAAGGCTTTATTGTAATTAAAAATATTGTTTCTGTTAAGTATAAGGGGTTTAGCAGAATTTCAGTTGATTGAAACTTGAGAGAATTAACATAAACTTGGATATAAAGTTAAATCATTATAAAATAGTTTACATTTCTTATCCCCACATTTTTATTTTATATTTATTTTATGTGAATTATTATAATTTAATTGATTTAATTCTTATTACATACTTAAATTTTCATATATTTAGTTTATGCGGCACAATTTACTTATTTTAGATTACGAATAGTTATAATAAAATTTGACTCGACAAATATTTTAATTAAATTCGAATCCTCTAAAATTCGGATCAAATTAAAATTATATTCAATTTAAAATTAAATATATTGATAAGCCTGTGGCCTTGGCTTAAGTCCCTTCTCAAATGACTTAAATGTAAAATTTAAAAGTTTTAAGTACTGAAATTTTAGTATCAAATTAGCTAAATTATAAATATTAAAATTCAAAATGCATATAATAAGTGATAATAAAAATAAAAATTATCCAGTTTTAATAATTTTATTATAAATAATTTAAATACATTTAATAGATTAATTTTTAGTCAATGTTTCACATTAAGGATTAGATGCTGAATAAAATAAAATATATTTAATTTAAAATGTTTTATATTTATTTTAAGTTTAATGTCAACTTTGATTTTAGCAATTCAGGTGACTTAAAAGAAACAACTTTGTTTTATTTCTTTTTCGGAAGGTAATTAAGGATTTGTGTATTCGCAGCCTCAATTTGTAAAATATTGATAATTAGGCAACTACAACTTCATTGGATATCAATCAGACCCCCGACTTTCCAAACCACGGCTAAATTGTGTTTAGAATATTTATTTACTGAACCTCAAAAATCAATTTGTAAATGTAAAAATCTACCTAGTATTTACAGCTTAAATTAATTACTTAGTAATTAATTGTTCTTATCCCACGCCAAAAAGGTGTTTGGTAAAAGAATTAAAAGCCGGTTGCTAGTTGCTAATGACTCCTTCTACCTTTTTCTAGCTAAATAATATTATTTGTCTGAATTATGCTTCATTGATTTTTATTATTTATTTTTTCCGCTGTAAATTATACCATGTCTTTTTGAGCTTGGGATTAATTGCGAGACAAAGTAAGGTAAAACACTATTAAGGGAGCGAATGGTTAATTTTCTATGGAAAAATCACTCATTGGATGACTTAGGTAATTTTAATTACTCAAAATGTTAAAATATAAATATTTATATTCGGACTAAAAAAATACTTAGTTAAAATACTTGTATTTCTAAAATATTTTATTCAATATACTTATAATAACTATTACAAGTGAGCATCTGTCTATTTACAAGTGTGAATTTATATAATTATAAGTACATATCTGTTTAGATCAAAATTTTGTAACAAATGTTATAAGTACGTATTCGTAGATTTATAAGTCTCTATCTATATGTTTATAAGCAAGTATTTGTGTAATTACAAGTATGAGTCCATTCGATTGGTATGATAAGGTACAATAAATAAACTTATCTTATCTTTATATGGTTCAGATGGTATGTAATAAAATGTAAGAAGAAAATATCAGCGGGGTGGGGATAAGTTATTAGATGAGGAAGGTGGGATACGTTTTATTAGCTGGATAAATTTGGGTTTCGGATGTAAATGCCTTGAGTCGTGCCAGAGGGGGGTTGCTCCACCTGGGTCACGAAGGCAAAGCAAAGGGTGGAAGGGGGTGGAGGAGGAAAGGGCAATTTGCGCCCACTGCTTTTGGCGGAGGAGACGGTCGTTTGCACCCACCGCCCGCATCGCCAGGCTTGGTTAACCTCGGCGGTCGGTGATTTTCCTTGCGGCTGATCAGCGGAGTTTCTAGAGCTCATTCATGGCATCTGGCCAAAATGAAGACTTGACTCCTGTGTTTGGCCCGAACCTAATCCATTTTGGGTTGGTTTTTGGTCTACCTGGGTTGGCTAGACGGGTCGACCCAAGTGGGCATGAGGGAGGTGGCGGGCCGACGGAAGGTAGGCGGTGAAGGATGAACTGATCTGACGGAGGTCTGACTATGTTGGTTTGGTTTTTTTTTTTTTTAATCCATAAGGCTTTTTGGTAAATTCAAATTTATTTGTCTATTTTTATTTTTTTTGTTTTTATTCAACGAACGTGTAATAACGTTATTTAATTCGGATAAATTTATCCAGTCTCATCCTATCTCATTATATTCTATCATCCCATCCGAACGACCCCTATATATATTAGTAACTACTTATACATATTTGTGTTTATAAATTAAATATACAGATATATAATTCTAACAATTATTATAAGTTTATAACTTAGTTATATATAATTATAATTATACAAATTTATACTTACAAATATACAAAAAATACTTATAAATATATAGATATATACTTATAATATTTAACATGAGTATTTTTAGAATGTAAATATTTTAACAGGGTAATTTTTTTGATCATAACAGAAATATTTTATATTTTTAAGCCTCCGTGTCATTAATTTAATCAAATTAGCTTGCTTAATATTTTTTTTTATTTTGTTTACAAAATAACTAGATTTTTTATTTAAAAACATTTAAAAAATATTTTAGAGTGTTTGAATAAAATTTTAAAATTAATTTTAATTATTTTATAAAAGAATCATCTAACAAGTTATAGGAGGGAATTTTTATTATTAATTTACAAGATTTTTTATTATAATTTATCACCTAAATAATTGCCCGTCATTTATAATTTAATAGTACATTCATGTAATAAATTGATTAAAAATTATATCTTTAGTACATAAAATATATATTTTATTAGACGTGTGTTATGAATCATGAAAATAACAAATTCCTAAATAAATCTGAACACTTGCTGCTTTTTACTCCAAGTCCAATCATATTTCATAATTTCCATTTCCCAAATATAAATAGATGTGTACGGAAATAAATATATTAACTTGGTATATGAATTTATAGCAAAAATTCGAAATTAGTTCAAACATTTTAGCTTGTATTTTTTTTTTAAACCACAACAGAATAATTTTTTTGTTAAATAAAAAGTTGGCGGAGGGATTTATAGCATTTGGAGGATTGAACAAAAGAAAAGAAGGATGAAAGAGCTGGAATGTTTGATCCGAACTCTAGAATACACTCGCAAAAACGAAAACAAGAAAAACAGATAGAGCTTGAAAGCGAAGATCCACCTTTTGAAAATGAAAGCAAAAGCAGGCTCCAATTTTCAGGAAACAAGGAGTATGGGGCCCAAGTCAAAGAAAGAATCCAGAGGCGCCCTCAGAAGCCCAACCTGTCTCCAACTCGCCATGGCCAAATTTCCGCTTCTCTGGTTCTCTCTCATGTGGGTTCTCTGCTCTCTACAGTTGCCCTCACAGCAGACCAAATTTCCGCCTTATCTGATTCTCTCTCTCATGTGGGTTCTCTGCTCTCTGCAGTTGCCCACACAGCAGACCACTTTTACGCGCACAAAGTCACAAACTCGGCTCACCAAAGGTGTGTGGTGGAGATCCCCGAATTGATCCTTTTCTCTTTCTTTCTATCCGTTCATACGACAGGTACAGCTTGAAGTAAAGAAGAGTTGAAGCTGTCGGAGCAGAACCGAAGAATCCGAAGGCCTCCAATCCAATGCCCTCTTGCCGGTGCTTACTCCGTTTCAGTTACTTTCTCTTCTTATTTACAGTTGCTTTCGCCGGCGACCGTATGTGTCCTACGATTGGACAGTCTCGTACGTCACGGCCTCCCCACTTGGGGTTGAACAGAAGGTTCTCTCTCTCTTCTCTGTAATTCTTCTTCTATTTCTGCTTTCTTTGTGGATCTTTACTTGCTATTCGTTCTCCTCTTAATTACAGATTCATACATTCTGACCAAATGGATAGTTCTGGAAACCAAGAGGAGTTCAACACTTGTAATTATTGCGATCTAAACTGGCAACATGTTCATATGATCTTTTCTTGAATGTTAGTTGTGTATTGGAAGGTAGAAAGTAATTAGTTCTTGTGGGTAAAGATCGGATTGTAGTAGTAGGTCCCCAAAATTGGCGTCATGGTTCCTGATTATTTCTGATTTTAACCTTCTCTTTTTGTGGTGATTTGTTTTGTTTTTTTTTTTTTCGTTTCGTTTTGTTTTTCTTTTTTTTCTTTGTGTGTGTGTTGTGTGTGGGGGGGGGGGGTGTGGAGGTTGCGTGGTTGCGTTGTGCTTATTATCTCCTGGTCGCTCGTCAAAGGTGGTTTATTAATTTATATGATCGAAAGGAAATAATAAACGTCACCAAAGGACACGTAATTTGGAAGTATTGTTGGTTCTCTTGAATGCTTTAACGTTTTGTTTTACTCTTGTTACAAGACTTCTGTGATGATTACTGATGTCTGTTTTAACCCCAACACTTTAGGTTATTGCAGTTGAAGGTCAATTTCCTGGACCCATTCTCAATGTCACCACAAATTGGAACGTTGTAGTAAATGTCAAAAATAATCTTGATGAACCATTTCTTCTCACGTGGTATGTTTTTTACTGTTCAAAGATTGAGACATGCAACAAGTATGAGGAGAGTGATATTTAGTAACCAATCTAAATGCAGGAATGGCGTACAACATAGAAAGAACTCATGGCAAGATGGTGTTTCAGGAACTAATTGTCCTATCCCTGCTGGCTGGAACTGGACATATGAATTTCAGGTTAAAGATCAATAGGGAGTTTCTTTTATTTTCCTCGCTAAACTTCCAAAGAGCTGCAGGTGGGTATGGAGGAATCATCATAAACAACAGAGATGTCATACCATTGCCCTTTGGAACTCCGGATGGAGATATCACACTCTTTATTAGTGACTGGTACACCAAGAGGCATAAGGTCTGTGTAAATGGTCTCTCACTCACTGCTTGTGTTCTCACTAAGTATTACTGACTATTGCTTGATGGTGCAACAGGAACTGAGGAAAGATGTTGAAAGTGGAAAAGACCTTGGACCTCCTGATGGTATCCTCTTCAATGGACTTGGTCCTTATCGTTATGATGAGAAGGTAGTTCCTGGTGGAATAGTTTATGAGATGATAAATGTTGAACCAGGTAATTTTATTGGATGGGTATGGAGTTCTTGTGTTTCTAAATCTATTGACTATTAGCAAGAAAGGAATTTTATGTGGATTCAAACTCTCCCTGAAAAAGAAGTTACTGGGAAGAAAATTATTAGGTGCTTCTAAAGTATTATTATTCCGGGAAGCTTTTTTTTTTTTTTTGTGGCCATCTTTTGATGCTGTAACATATTCAGTTTTCCTCATTTCACTTCAATCAATATAACTATTATTATTGTTATTTTTTTAAATGCAAAGCAGGGAAAACATACCGTTTCCGGGTTCACAATATCGGTATCTCTACGAGTTTGAATTTCAGAATTCAGAGTCATAACTTGCTTCTGGTTGAGACTGAAGGGTCATACACAGTTCAGCAGAACTATGCAAACATGGATATTCATGTGGGTCAGTCATACTCATTCTTGGTCACAATGGATCAGAATGCTACCACTGATTATTACATTGTTGCAAGTCCACGTTTTGTAAACTCAGCTGCTCGGGTCTTGACTTCAGGAGTTGCTATCCTGCATTACTCTAATTCTCAGGGTCCTGCTTCAGGTCCTCTTCCAGATCCACCTATTGACTCTGACTCATATTTCTCAATGAACCAAGCAAGGTCCATAAGGTTGTAGTTTGTTGTCATTCTGTTTGTATAATGTCAGGAATCTTCCTATTGTTAATTAGCCTTCCCAAATATTTTTAGTTACATCAAAGTCTTCCCCCATGCTAATCTAGTCACCTTCAGCAGTTATTCGAATCTTTGGATCTGTTTTTTTTTGGTGTTAGTAGAATCTTAAATTTTGCGTTTCGATCACTTACGTGCTGTAGGTTATAGTGTTTAAGCTTGAGAAGCAAGTGATGCTATGTTACAACTTTTTAGGGAAGGTTTTCTTATTTTTCCCTTTTTCTTTTAGCTTTGTTCTGTTATTGTATGCACACACACACACACACACAATTTACTTCTTTACTTCATTTGGGTATCTTATATTTTCTCTAAGTGCTAAGCTGGAAAGTGTTACATTGTCATGACATCGTCTGTAGATGGAATGTGTCTGCTGGTGCTGCTCGTCCAAACCCACAGGGATCCTTCAAATATGGTGATATTACAGTAAATGATGTGTATGTGCTCCTCAATAGACCTGTAGAACGTATTGATGGAAAATGGCATACCACACTCAATGGGATTTCTTATTATACACCTTCAACGCCTCTTAAGCTGGCACAGCAGTTTAACATTCCAGGGTTTACAAGCTTGACTTCCCAAATAGACTGATGGATAGACCTGCAAAAGTTGACACATCCATAATTAATGGTACTTACAAAAGTTTCATTGAAATCATATTTCAAAATAATGATACTTCCATTCAGAACTACCATATGGATGGATATGCCTTTTTTGTTGTGGGGTAAGATAGTTGACTTTTGTTAATTTTCTCTCTAATTCTTATATGTAATGATTCATTGGTATTAAATGACCTCCCATTTGGACTGTAGCATGGATTTTGGGGTGTGGACAGAGAACAGCAGAGTCACTTACAACAAATGGGATGGGGTTGCCCGGTCCACTACTCAGGTAATTCTTTTGCTAAACGTCTTCATTCTTAGTGCTTTTTGAACAGAGCAAATTATTGCATTAAGAGAACAAAAACTTCAAACCTTTTCTATTTCTGCTGCAGAATACTACTTGAATTAAAGTTGACTCTGAATCTAACAAACGCCATCAGGGTAGCTCTTTTTTGAACACTACTGTTGAAGTTTTTTCTTTCTGTTTTCAGTTATGAAATGTTAGCATTTAATGGCATGGTTTCCTTACTGATTTGAAATGGATTCATCTTTCCTATGAGAACTTAAATATAGTTTCCTTTGATCATACTTGCCTCATGGAGAAAGGTTGAAAGCAGTGATAATGGGTCTCATGTTGATTTCCTTGTTACAATGAGTAGTAGTTAAGAGGTGAACCTAGTACTCAACAAGAAAGTTCCTGGGAAATCAGTCAACATTTTGAACTTTTATGTAAATCCACTTCGCTTCTGCTAAAAAGCAGGTGCTGCATACCTTTTACTGATTTTGAGGGATGGATCAAATGAACTTATGCATTTTTTGCACTTTGAAACTATTACAAATTAAAGTTTAACATTGGTTAGAGTTGGATAAAATGTGCATTTTAAAGCAGAAATCCTTTTGGCTATTATCATTGTTATAAATATGGTTTGATATTGCAGTTGTTTTTTAGAAGCAGCCTCATGGAATGAAATGTCATTGTAAAACAGTATATAAGTTTAAGAATGGGAAAGTGATAAGAACTTATTAACAAGAGTAGGCTAGGTAGAATGCTTTAAGCCCTTACTACTTTATGTTTCGTAAAGCTTGGAAGTTGCTCTTAGAAAAAAGAAAGAACGAATGCAGAAGTGAAGGAAGTAGAGGGGTGGATTCTCTGGTAGCAGTACTGCAGTTATCTTAGTCTGGTCATTCTTGACATTCTTTTCCTTTGTTTTTCAAGTCTATTGTTGTCATTTACTTCATTAATCAATCTACTCAAAGGTTTGGTTAGAGTGCACTTTTGTTCCCTTACATGTTACCTGTAAGTCTCACTTCCTACCACGTGCTTCAAATTATCATAATTGACTTTCTACACTCTATGACAATGTTGTAATTTATTCTTTTATGCTTATGTGATCATTTTCCATTAATTTGTAGCTAACAGGGTCACATGAATGGTTGAGACTGAATTATTGCTGTCAATATAGGGATAACTGGACAATTTAAATTCTAGGGGGCAAGGTGAAATCTAGAGTAAAATGTGGAGAAACTTGTGTGGCTGACTCAAAATGTATTGTGCATGGTGAATGAGACCTTAAGACTATTAGCAATGGACTTCTTTTTTCAAGTACAGGTATTTCCTGGAGCATGGACTGCGATTTTAGTCTACCTTGACAATGCTGGAATTTGGAACCTTCGCACAGAGAACCTGAACTCATGGTATCTGGGCCAAGAAGTTTACATTAGTGTGGTAAATCATGAGACGGATAACACTGAGTCATTGTTGCCTGAAAATGCTATCTACTGTGGTGTGCTCTCTCTTTACAGAAGTAAGATGTTGTCATAGCTATGTTTTCTTGAGCTACATTTCCCCTGAAAATTGGGTTACAAGGGTCATATTCTCTGCATTGTGTAGAACTGAGACCTGAGATGGATAGAGGTTGTTAGGGCCTTCCTTTTTTCCCCCCTTAAATATAGTTCTCTTTACCTTGTTGAAGAGAAGAAGCCTTATAGTTGGGGTGTTTGGTTTCTTTGAAAAAGGCAATAGTTGTGGAAGTGGATGTTTGGTTTCAGGGCTTTTCTATTTAAACGATTCATAGGGTTTTTTGATCAAAGGCTCATTAATATCATAAAAACCAAACAACCCAATCCATTTTGAGTTGTTACGGCCTTTTCACCATGGCTACCAACAACTCTCCAAGCAATTTAAATAAAAAATGTGTCTTGGAATTCCTATCATATGCTCCACATAGTACAAAACTAATAGTCTAATACGGTTACTTGAAATTCTTCTGTTTAATGTTCCAAGTACATTAATGCTTTTCTTTTCCTTCTTTTCTCATTTTAAGGGACCAAGCTCATAGAGTAAAGTTCTCCAGTGCTCCATCGGTCAGAAAGGTGAGCAGAACAGTCGTACTAGCATTTTTGATAGCTGTACTTGGATCTTTCTTCTGGTAATGAATTTCTAGTTTGCTAAGGTGTTAGCATCACGAGTCAGTGAGACGGGGGGGCTAATAATTTCTGGCTACGATTAAGTGCAAGGGAAAGAATTGTATATATTACGTTGGGTTGAGGAAAGCATATCACTGGATTGCTGTGTTGTACCATTTTCATTTGTGTGATTTTTTTGAGTTAGGAAATGAGAATTAGTAGTCTTGAATTGTACAATATGAGAGGAAGACTAGGAAACCCCCCACCAAAAAGAGGGTGGAGGAGTTCAGAGGCGTGGCTGACCAATATGCACATTTTATTCTTTAGGTAACCATGCTTCATTCTAGTGTTTATGTATTGTTATGAATGATTCATTGCCACATCTGAATAGCTCTTTGGCCGTTGTGCAAACAAACACCAACTTGTTTTTATTTACTTTTTGGGGCTTGTCTGTCTGCCCTTTTGCTGATTGCTCTTTCTTGCTTCTTTACTTCTTATCTTGTCTCTGGCTAAACCGCGCGCATACATACAATATGTATTTGGTAACGCAAATGGCCTTGTTTTGGAGGGTTCTTAGCCAATCCTTGAGGCGTTTGATAGGCCCTCAAACCCAAACTAACTCCACCCAGATATATTTGATACTAGTTTTAATTTACTGGATTGGTGATTATATTATTCGTTAAATCAGTATTAAAATTATATATATAATATTAATTTAATAAATATTAAAATTAATAATTTTATTAGATTAATTTTTAACATTAAATACAAGTTCGCCCTCATCTTGGCATGTGTGTGTACATGATATTAAATTAATTGATAGTAGTGAAAGGGTAAAATATTTATATTAAATTTTACAAAGATAATTTAGTCAAATTTAATAAATAATATTAATTAGAGCTGTTTTTTAAAATATTAATTATGATTTTTTTTTTAATATGTATAAATTTTATTACTTAAATTTGATCAAATTAACCATAATAAAACTAATGTAAATACTTTATAATTGGGTTGGAGTATGTATCTGATAACATAAAATGGCTTTGATTTGGAGGGCCCTAGGCCAACCTTCTAGGCGTCTGATAAGCTCTCAAACCCCGCCACGCCCCCGGTGTAGGGGGAGGGATTTAAATATACCTCTCAAGGGGCACGGGAGTTTGGGATTCCCACCCCTCCCCTCCTCTCTCTCCTCCACACCCCCCTCCCCCTCTCCCCCCCCCCCAACCCAAAAATAAAAATAAAAATCTAACCCTCTGGCCACTGAAAAATTATTATTTTAGAATAATTTGAGAATTATTAAAAAAATTTCAGATAAAATTGATATTTTATTTATAATTTTTATATAAGTGTTTCTTACTTTTATTTTATCTAATTTTTTTAAATTAAATTATTTTTACTTAATTTATCGGTGTTAGCACACGATTTTTTCTTTTTTCAAATTTTTTAAATACATATTTAAAATACTTTAAAAAATTATAAAACAAATACTAAATAAATGATTTCATCTCCTCAACCAACCACCCCCTTCCTGTCTCTTCTGCCCTCCTCCCTGATCAATATTGTAGTCCACATACATTCTCTCTCTTGGATTCTACCCCCGTACATTCACTCTTTATTAAAAAAAATTTGTGTCCTCGATGACAACATTATTCGAACAGAACCGGACCCGCGTCCCTTGCCTATGATAATTGCGTCACGGTCACCTCTTGCTTTTTCCAGTGTACGTGGGCCCCTGTTTTTCTGTTGTGGTTAGCCTCTTTTCCTAAGAGAGACATTTATAAATCTATTAATAATTGAAATTATGTGTTATTTCCATTTTGCGTCTATTTTTCTTCGACAAAAATTAAAAAATGAAATTTAAAAAATGGAATAAAACAAAGAGTTAGCATGAGATGAAAGGTGTTGGTTGTAATCAGGAAAGATGGCTTTTTTGATTTTTGATTTTTTTTAATTATAGAAATCAGCTATAAAAAAAGCTATTTTTAGGACTTGTCAACTTAATTCTACGAGTCATTTGGGTTGTTGTGCTAAAAGGGGTGATCTGTCAGTTACGCGATTTCTTTTCCTTTGGAGAGTGCTTTCTGGTTACTATTGCCTCCGATCTCTATCTCTCTTGCCGTGTAAGCTTACCAACAGACCACTTACTCCCAACACGCGGTATATATCAACCATCTGGCTCAGTTGATGCCTTATTGGGGGGAGGAGAGAGAGAGAGAGAGAGAGAGAGAGTGAGAGAGAGGTGAAACCATGGTGGCCAATACCAGAATCACACGTTTGTCCCTCACAGTCCTGATTTACACTGTCCTGAGCTTAACCTTGACAGAATCAGCCCTGAAGGCGCGCTGGTCACGCAGCTTCCAGGTTTCAATGGCACTTTTCCCTCCAAACACTATTCTGGGTATCTATCTTTCTTCTTCATCTTCTGATTCTGAGTACTTTGTTATGCTGATTCGTCCACTCATGAAATCTTCGTGGGGTTTATAGGTATGTAACCTTAGACGAAGCTCATGGCAAGGAACTGTTTTATTACTTCGTCCTCTCCGAAAATAAACCCTCCCAGGACCCAGTTGTTCTCTGGTTCAATGGCGCCCTGGATGCTCAAGCTTCGATGGATTCGTATACGAGCATGGTATTCGCCCACTTGTTTCTTGTCTTCGGTTTCCTTTTTGATCTTTAGAAACTGAAACGTCTATGGTGTAAAGAATTTATTCTTTCAGTTGTGGCCATTGCAAAGGATGTAGATATGTCTTTGAATGAAGTTAACTCTGTTCATAAACCATCGTTTTAAACTAGTTGGGTAATTTAGATTGCCAATGTAAGGTAGCTGTTTTTGACCCGTATATGTTTGTTAAATTGTATAACCTAGCCTTTCATACTCGTTGAAATTTTGGTGGGGTTTTTATCCTTTGAATTTTCCCTGCAATCGGTTTCCTTTCTGTTCCTGTTGCTTCGACATTTTCTCTGGATGTTGAGGAATTGAGTTTCTAAATTTTATTGTTCTTTTGGTGAGTGAAATCTCTATTTAGTGCGAAATAAATGTTTTGCAGGTCTTTATCAGGGTGGATTTAGGAAATTATGTGAAAATGAAATGGTTACTTCTATTTATTAATTTCGCTTGTATGAAGTCTAATTTGTTTCCAACAAGCATTATTTATTTCAGGATATGGATAGAAGTGGTGTCTTATTTTTCAATTTTATACTTGATTTTTTTTCACAGTTGAACTTACCAGTTTTTAGATCAAATCACATGGTTTATTCTAAATTGGTCAGAAGTCCACCTTCTGGAAGTTGAGAATAAGAGATAAATGATTCTGATTCTGTTTGCTGTAAATTACAGCTCATTTATATCTAAAGGATTTATGTTTAGAAAATTGATCGTTTTATCTTCAAAATTGGTCATTCTGACATGTTATGCAGGGCCATTCAATTTTGAAATGTCAAAGACAAATGGTACCCTGCCCAAACTACATCTCAATCCGTACAGCTGGTCTAAGGTTTTTATACTTTTTTCATTACTTCATGATTTTCTATTATTTATTTTTTAACAACAAAAATATTCCCATACTAATGGGGGAGGGGGACTCAAACTTCCCATCCCTTGGATGCACTTCCCAGCACTTAACCATTATGCTGGTCTTACATATGAGTCGTGACTTGTTTTGAATATTACTTTTTGATTGAACCGCAGTTACTACTGGTTTTGTGGTACTGTCCATGTTTTTATGAATGGTCCATGTCCTTGTGGAAAAGTTTGATTTTAAAGTTTAATGTGATAGTTCAGAAAATTTAACAGTTCATCAGGAAAATTAATGGTCTAGATTTGCTGAATAAAGAAATGGAAGGGGACATGAGATGGAGAGAATTCAGATCCATCGCCGTCATCCATGTTTCTTAAATATCTCCTTAATGCATGGTCTTTCCTGTCAGGTTTCCAACATTATATATTTAGACTCTCCAGCTGGTGTTGGATTTTCTTACTCAGCAAATGAGTCTGATTACATTACCGGAGATCTCAAAACTGCTTCTGATTCACATAATTTTCTACTTAAGGTAACATTTCAATCAAATAAACAAGAAAGGGTGAACCCATAGAAATATGGGAACATTGATTGCTTATATTGTTGTTTTCTTCTATTGTTCATGTTTATTTAAATTATTTCTATGTAATTAGTGGTTCGAGTTGTATCCAGAGTTCCTTCCCAATCCATTTTTTATTACTGGGGAGTCATATGCTGGAGTTTATGTGCCAACATTGGCTTATGAAGTAGCTAAAGGTAATTCTTATTTCTTAAGACATGCGGTGTTGATACGTGTTATGAATCTGCATTAACATCCAGGTGAATTTTGTTTCTTGGATAGGAATTGATGCTGGCGTAAAACCTGTTCTCAACTTCAAGGTAGGGATTTTATAGAACTTTACTGAAGCAGTAAGTATGGTTGTGTTTAAATTCTTACTTACAAAATCAAATATTGCACAAAGGGCTATATGGTAGGCAATGGGGTTACTGACGAAGAGTTTGATGGAAATGCTCTTGTTCCGTTTGCACATGGGATGGGACTTATTTCAGATGAACTATTTCAGGTGATGAAACTTCTCATTTTGATTGTGAAAGTATATGATAGTGTCATCTACCGTCCTATCCAGTTATTACCCCCATAGATGGTGAAAATTCGTGTGAGGTTTTGTTATACTCTGTCATTATAGTTTAGCGAAAGCTCTGAACCTTTCAATGCTTTGTTTCTTTTGGCTGGCATTTTAAGATTTTTATGATATTTCATCATGAAGTGTATATACACAATATACAAATATATCCTTTCAAACCTGTTATTGTCATGCTATGTATACGTTATCAGTTATCCAAAATCTATTGCGGACCAACTGCTAATTTGCCAACGTATTGGAATCTTATCCCAATACCAATTGGATTCTCTCAAGGAGATGAAATTCTGATGACACTTCTTTTTTCCCCCCAAAATTCATGCTGCATACTGCAGGAAATAACTACTAATTGTGAAGGAAACTACTATTACCCTGCAAGTGACAACTGTGAAAACAATCTTGCTAAAGTTGACAGAGTAAGATATTACCTTTTAGTTTTTTACAGCAGATCACGTTAAAAGTGTGGCATATCAATCTCTATTTCAATTTTTATTATTTTCTTATATGTTGTGTCATGTCTAATGCAGAACATCCAAGATCTTAACATATACAACATTTTAGAGCCATGCTATCATAGCCCAGAAATTATAGAGCTTCCTACTGGTGACATAAAGTTGCCATCCAGCTTCAGAAAATTAGGAGAGACGGAAAGACCGCTTCTGTGAGGAAGAGAATGTTTGGCCGTGCATGGCCTCTTAGAGCTCCCGTAAGAGATGGAATTGTCCCAACTTGGCCTCAACTTCTTAACAGTGAAGATGTGCCATGTATTGTAAGTCTCTCAATATATTATCCTTTTGACCTAGTTGTTCAACTGATGTCCGTTGCATGGTTTGTAATTTTTCTAATTATTGGTCAACAGCATATTTGGAAAAAATTTGATCTTACTCTTATGATCTGTGACACGTTTTTCTGAATTCTTTGTTTTTATATTAGGTTTGAGAATTCAGATGTCGATTCTTCTTTGTTTGCATGTGATAATCAAACTGCGGGTTAAACGTTGAAATAGTATCACAGTCAGCATTATGGGGGACTACGCATATACCTGACATATCCAGATTGGACTTGTTAATATATTGCAGATTTAACCAGATCATACTAAATTTAGGAAGTAAATGATGAGTCTATGAGAATAAAATGTTAGCCTTTTGTGGCATGGCAAACATTGAAGTGACTTCCATGACCTACAAGGGCATATTAATGTATGATTTTGTATACTTTCACTGACCTTTTTCAGGCTGCATTTTTAGGCCGATTCTCATGCAATTAGGAGGCACTGGTTCTTGGTATCAACTATATTATGTGTATTTGTATTTTTGTTATATGTTTTTTTTTTTTTTTCTTTGGAGTGCTCATGTTTGGCCTCCTTCTTGGGCTTCTGCTTAATGTAAGATCTCATTGTGATTGGAATTTGAACATTCAGGATGATGAAATAGCAACTTCTTGGCTTAATAGTGAATCAGTTCGGAAAGCAATTCATGCTGAACAAGTAAGATTTGGACATCTAAATTTCTCCAAAGCATTTAAAAGAGAAAAAATTTATGATCCTGTGGACAAATTAGGAAAGTGTGGCTGGCCGCTGGGAGTTGTGTACGGACAGAATTATCTTCCGTCATGATGCTGGAAGCATGATCAAATATCACAAGAACCTTACTTCACGAGGATTTCGGGCACTTATATATAGGTAGATCAATAACTAAGTTATTTAATACCCTTCTGTCAATCCTCATATATGTTTGTTTCTATCTGTTAGTGTTGAATTTGAAAAGTCACAGGATGAGGGATTTCTTATTATAATTTATTATGAGGAGGAATTTCTTACCGTAATTTAACATAAAACTGCTTTTAGACTTCCTTCTCTCTGGGGAAGCTAGTTTCTATAGATTTGGTGGCTACAACAATAACATTAACTAAAAAATAAAAGGAAGGGGACGTGCTTTGCCTAATCCCAATGACTCCAATTCTGCATGGAGCAGAGTGTCCTTTTCCGTTGATATCATTATGTTGATTTGCAGGCAACAAGTGTACACATTTCAATTCTGAATCATGTATTGTCGTATCTAAAGAAAATAGCATTCACTAATTAACAAGCCCTAATCTGGTTATCAAGATTGTAGCATGGGTGAATTGTGGGGCTAAATTTCAAACAAGTTTAAGGTGTACTTTAGGTTATTTGAAGGGTCTATTATCTGCGAAATAAAAGAAAGGAAACTTGTCAATTCAAGCACAGAAGTAATTTCTATAGACTGTCGCTTGCAATTGTATACTGTTCGTGAATAACTGAACTGTCGAGATTGGTGGAATCCTGAAAATTGAAGTGAACATGGTGCCATGTGTTTCTCTACTCCATTCCTACTTTTAATTCCTTAACATCAAATAAAAAATACAAATATGGGTCAACAGCTTTATACTTTTCTTACCACTTTGTATCATTAATAAGATTCTTTCTTACGAAAATCCTTGAGATTGAAAACAAAATGCAGGTAAGCACGATCTGCCACTTCAATGGTTAACAACAGTGAAGTTGATCATCTTATCTGCAAATTGTTGCAGTATATCTTCTAGGTTGTACAATCATTATTGCATAGAATAAGATGAAAGAAAGGCATACTACTCTTTACGTGGAATTATGTAGTTATTGATCCTTATGGTGCTTTGCTAATAGTGAATACATCTGCACATTTATGGCAGTGGAGACCATGACCTTTGTGTTCCATACACTGGCAGTGAAGCATGGACTAGGTCAATGGGATACAAAATCATTGACGAGTGGAGGCCTTGGACTTCTGATGGACAAGTTGCTGGGTATGTAATCATTGCTCCGCTTTTCTGTAAATCTTCATTGATGCAAAATTTAAGGTCATAGAATGCTGTGAAACAGAACTCTCTTATTGTTCTTTTACCTGTTGCAGATACCTGCAAGGATATGAGAATAACCTCACCTTTCTCACCGTGAAGGTGCGTTCTGGCAAGGGACTGTTTGTCTTGTGCAATATCAACCTGTGATCTAACAACTAAACAAAAGTCTTGTTTTTATAAATTATTGTTGGTGCAGGGATCTGGACACACGGTGCCGGAGTACAAACCTCGCGAAGCATTGAACTTTTACAGACGTTGGTTGGCAGGAGAACCCATATGAAGGATTTCAATGGCTTTTTTCTTATGGGGGGATTGACAATGATAGTTTTTCTTTACTAAATTACATATAGTCAAATTAATGGCTGAATAAGGGACTATTCTCCATTTATTACTGGCTGAACTGAGCCTCTTTTATATTTAGTGGGTGGCCTTGGCTTACCACAAAAGCTATTGTATCTCTCCCACGAATTGGGGTTGAGGGTTTGGTCATTCCCTCCTAGTTAAATTACAGGGTTGTTAAACGATATTATAGGAATCCTTAAATCCATGTGAAACCTTAGTGTGATTTCTCTGTCTCGCCCCCCCCCCCCCCCCCCCTCTCTTGTGTAACCCAAAAAAACAAAAAAAATTGTATCCTCAGTTTGCTGTGGACTCTTTTTTTTTAATAAAGGTTTTATTAGGAAAAACTATTAATAGAAAATGATCTATTAGATTTCATTAATTACAGATGGTGTTTTTGTTTATAAAAATATTTGAGGCATGTTCTTACGGTTGTCTTCCTTTTTTTTTGTTCGATTTTCTGAGAATAAGCTTTATTTTATTTCTATGAAAACAAAAACAGAAAATAGTTTGATAATTTCTATTTGTTATATTTTTATAACAATGTTTTAAAAAATTATAACTTGATTTTGTATTTTATTATTTAATTTTTTATTAACTATTTATTAATATCTCTAAAGTCTTCATATTTTAACTTGTATCATCACATTGTAAATTTTTCTTTTAATATATATATTTTTTCACTTAAATTTTTTAACACATTTTTTTTGACCTCTCCCAATAAATATTTTCTCTTTTATCCCCGTGTGTTTTTGATTTATATTATATCTTTATAAAGATTAATCTTTATATAATTTTTTATAAAAATTTTCTCCCTCTAAAATTTTTTTATCAGTCAGATTTACGTCTCTTCTCTATCTAAAATTTAAATCTACCTATGTCTTAATTTATGCGAAATTTAAATAATTACATTTAGCATTTTATCTACACGTGTGTTACCGTTTCTTATGAAAAAAAATGAAGTTATATAAAAATTGTGTTTTCATTATTTTTGAAAACTTCTGCCATCTTTTTAAAAACAAAGATATTTCCGTTTTTAGATTTCAAAATTTATTAAAATGAAAACAAGAAACAAAAATATCAACAAACGCACCTTTAATTTATTTATTTTTAATGTAACAAGTAAAGATTTCAATTTGTGGAAAGCATTTTTATGAATTTTCTAAATTAAATACCAATAGAAAAAGCACTTAATATATAAATAAATAAATCAATGAATCATGAAGGTATATATTAATTTTTTCGGCTATTTTTTATTAAATCAAATCAGTTTACGTTCGAATCTTGTATTAATTTCCTTTTTACATGTCATTTATTTGTATGTTTAAATTATTAAAGAATAATTAATTAATTAATTGACTAATTTAATTCTTATTAGCTCAAATGGTGTTTCGCCCCGCCCTGACACTACATAACATAGTACCGCTAAACGGTCTCCCGCCGCCGCAACATCCAAACGCGGTCCATGTCCATTCTAGCAGTAACGCTTCTATTCATCTTGTGAAAAGTTCCGGCCACCGCCCCACCATGGTCCGTCGATTGCTGATGATGCAGAGGCGCCTCTTCTGCACCAAGATTTCCGAGAACCGCCAGCGCCGGCGATGTATAAAGCAAGTCACCAAGTCCAATTTCTCGGAGGCGCTGGAGCAGATCAACAGCCATATTCGTGACTCCGACTTCGTCGCCGTCTCGTTGCAGAAGACCGGTTCCTATTCTTCTCCTTGGCAACGGCTGCTGCCTGTCGACACCGCCGAGACCGCCTACTCCAAGGCCAAGTACGTGGCCGAAAGGTTTCAGGTTCTTCAGTTTGCCGTTTGCCCCTTCTCCGTTAGGGCTTCTAAAGTCATCGCCCACCCGTGAGTCATCAGCTCATTATAATTACTCACGTATACACTTTTTTGTGTTTGTCTGGATTGGGGTTACTCGGAATGGACTATGGAGTTCAAAGATTTTGCGTGTCTATTTTACAATTGAGTCGGGCATAGTCGTGGCATGTCACAGTGTAAATTGTGGCAATATTCAGATGGAATGGGTTAAAGGAAGGGTTTTATTTATTTATTTATTTTTTTGTGCTGACAAAGGAAGCTCTTTTAGTGGAAATGCGTGGTTCATTTTTCAGTTAAGTCACTATCGGTTTTGTCAAGACTAGTTTCCAAATATGAGGGCTTTGAGCTGATCTATTGGTAAATGTTTTATAAAGATGATAATTAGTATAACATTTTCGCAGGCAGTGGAAGTGTTTTCTAGTAAAATGAATGGGGAAACATGCATTTGCTTTGCTGCTTTAAGAGTAAGAGAGGACGGGTTCTAGCTTTTTCAAGGTTGCATTTCCATGGTGGGTTAAGCTTGCTGTTATTATTATAGTAGGGGGATGAACTTGGCTACTAATGATACGTGGGCAGATAATTTAAAGATATTCAAGGAAATAGTGGCTTTTAAAACTCATAAAGAAGTGTAGGCGACTGTAAAATTTGCTTTGTCGCTTTGGATTGGGTTGTTATGACATATTTGATGCAGTCATGCCTTTGGTTTTTGTATATTCAGTAATGTTACGTAAGTCAAATCTGTTAAAAATTAATCAATATATAAGATTTCTTGAGCACGCTGGCTAGTAGCTAGCCAGTACACTGTGGACATTATGATAAATAGAGAAAAAATAAAAAATCAATGGGATTTGTTATCTTCTCCATTAATTGGTATTATGTGTTACTAGGGTCCCCTTGACGATTGCAGAACAAAGTTTAACAATGTTCTTTTTCTCTCATTATCATGGTTGAAAGCTAATCTGCTTTTATCATTTGACGACTGATAAATTACTTTTTGTCCTTTTGTTTATTTCCAGATATAACTTTCATATCTTCCCCAGGGATGAATTGAAAATAGGGATGCCATCATATAGTTTTTCATGTCAATCATCATACTTGACCTCTATGGCTGGAGAAGGCTTTGATTTCAATGGCTGTATACATGATGGTAAGGTACTGTACTAGTTTGAAGTGTGGGAATAGAGAATTAAGACTTCAGTTATAAGATCTTCTCAGTTCTCTAAATAAGAAAATTAATGTTAACGGACAGTGAGTGGAAATAAAAAATTTATGGAATTTACACAGGATTACTATGGTGTAATGAGATGAAACCTATCTGTTGTTATTATAGAGGGAGTTTGCTACTGGACTTGTTGTCCCAAATAATCATTTACATATATGGCAAGGAACCAGGTGCCTTTTCCTCTTAGTGTTTATAATTTTGTCCAATAATTACTAATAATTTCAAAATACTCGAATCTTGTAAGATCCCTCCTGCATCTTTTGTGTATGCAAAATCTGATTGGCTTCCTTTTTTCTTTTTTTACCCCTCCTGTTTAAACTAGCAGTTTCACGAGAATGCAGTCATGAAAACTCTAATTACTGTTTTAGCTTTTGCTTAATTTGGTTAAATTTTCAAGCTTACCTAGAAGTCTCCTTATCTTAAAACTTAAGGCCCTTTTTCATTCTTTTTTTCACTCATTTGCCTATTGGACAGGCATATCATACCTATCCAGAGCTCAAGAATCAGCTTCAAGAGAACGAATTAGGAACCCTTTGCCAAGTAAATGTACAATACAGACATCCTCGCCCCTTTCAGTTGCTGATACAGTTTTTATTGAAAGGACGAAATCAAGAGTGAGGAATTGGCGAAATGTATTTAATGACACAAGCACAACAAAGGAAGGTCAGGGAATAGATTGTGTAGTTGTCTTTTTGTATTCAACCTTCTGCCTGTGTTTTTAATGGTTTTCTTGTCTTTGACAGATGTTTTGATAAAATCTCTGAGAAAACTTGTTGTAGGAAGTGAACAATATGGGTCCAGGCCTTCCCTTGATATAGATGTTTGCAGTGAACTCCAAGTGCAGCTTATTTTAGGGGTAAAAATAAATAATCCTTGATGCAAACACATCATATATTTGGATGGAAGGAATAGCATTTATTCCATCCCAGACATCATTCAGTTTCCATTGCTTACTACTCATGTCTTGGAGGTTTTTGGTATGACTGCAGATGCTGAGGGAGTCCTTTGATGACCTTGTACCTCTATCAATTCCAGCCAAGAGTGGGGGAACCCAGGCAGTTCGAATTGTCCTTACAAGTTCCAGAGAAGACAGGGAATCTTTTGAGGTGCAGATAAACTTACTCGTTGTTGATAAATGCATATTTGATGTTCACGTTTTGTAAGTAATTATAGTTTTAAATTGATAGAGGGAACTTCAAAATCTGGAAGAAGCACACAACAAACGTGTTCATGGCTTTCGTGAGGTGATCGATTTGATTTCTACTTCTCAGAAACCTGTTGTTGCCCACAACTCACTTAATGGTCTATCCCTATGATAAACAATTTTGAGTCAAAATTTCAAATTTTATGGATAAATTATTTTTGTACATTTATTAATTTTTATGCTATTATTTTTGCCTACTGCAGATTTTACATTCATCTATTCAAAATTCATTTCCCCTCTACCTTCTAGTGTTGATGAATTCAGGTGCTCCTTGCATTTGAATTTCCCACATATACTAGATATCAGCCTTCTGATGAAGGAAATTGGACCTTTCAAAAAGATGGCTAATTTACCTGCTGCCATTGCCTTCTTAAAAAGGCGGTTCTTTGCACCTGTCAATTTGGAGATTGGTCACCAAGGTAAGTCACTTCAGTAATGTACGAATGATGATATGGTATAATTTTATTAAATTGGGAATATTTGCTTCTACGATTGGTTCCTCGAATGGTCTATGTTTAACTCAGTGTGATGTGGAATATCTGACAATTCACCAAGAATAGTATCTTTGTTGAGTTGAAATTGCCAATTATGATATTATTTATTGTATTTGTCATTCTGACTCTTCACCTTCTGCTTATGGATCTTTGATGATAATTGTATGCTTCAATACTGTATAGCAAGCGTGACTAATGAACTCTCCTCCTTTCAGCTGATGTCAATGAGGGCACCATGCATGGCCATAATGTTTTGAAGATAACTGAATTGTTTGCTAAACTGTGCTCTATTCTGAAAGTTCCACCCAAAACTCTTGAAGATGACAATGGCCATTTCCTTTCTGACCTTGAAAACCGCTCAAATGTCTTTCTTCCCAGCTCCCTGGGTTCCCAAGACCCTATCAATGGGCATGTCTCAATTTGGACACACAATTCAAGAAAGGTTGAGCGCAAGGATTTGGTTTTCTTGTGGGGATTTAGGCATGGGATGTCTGCAGTGATGCTCAAGAAACTTCTCTGTGATTCCCACAACGTTTTCTCTGAGGAATTTGATGTGCGACTACTGGATAAGAGTTGTGCGGTTATTGCTTTCTGGAATCCTGGTTCAGCTGAAAGATTTCTCGAGGAAATGGAATCTGGAGGAAGCAGTTGTGAATCATTGAGGGAGATGATAGCGGAAGGCGCAAGGGCTGCAGGTTATATGACTTACAGGAGAGCCTGTAGGTTGGGATTATGGGAAGCCAATTTGGCAGATTCTTTGGATAAAGCCTCTATAGATGCTGATAACCTTCCCTCCGAGGAGCCATCAGAGATACCTGTACTAATATAACAACTGCCTTAGATGTAGAAACATTTTTTGACTAAACTATCCTATTAAATTTCTTAACGCACATTAAATCCCTGGCGTTAATTTTCTTTTCTTTTATTTCTTCGTTAAAATTAACATTGTCTATTACATTGCACTAAAGTCAAGATCAACATGCATGGCTTGGAAGACTTCTGAAATCTGAGACGCACGCTTTTATGGGTTGTAAAAAGTCATCAAATTACCTTAACATCTTTGCTCAATATATTCTGGTGTTTTAACGCCGTCTTAACTTTTTTTATCTGTTCTCAAATTTTCCCCCTATTTAGTATAATTATTTTGGTGGAGGACACAATCCGGACATTGGAGTTTTTTTTGCAACAGTTTCTTCGAACTCCCATGACACAGAAATTGGGCTTACTGTTTAGAATCTATAGATCATTATATTTAAGGATTATTTTTTGGTGGTTTACAAGATAAAGTATTTTGTTTTAATACGTATTTTTTTTTTTGGTTACATAAGGGACGAAACGGCCAAAACGAACAAAACTAAGAGAAACACAAAACTAAACCTGGGGAGTAAGAACTCTCGTAGACTTACGGAGGATTAAATCTCTCATATGATTGGGGGGGGGGGGGGTAAGCCCAATCCATCAGGCCCAAATTGTGGGACAAACTAGATTTAGCCATACTGTTTACTGTTGCATTCGCTTCCCTGTGCACATAGTGAATTAACACGCCCCAGTCCTTATTGAGGAGAACTCTGATTCTTGGCAAAAGAAGAGTCCAAATTTTCTGATTGTCGTTGCCCCCTTGAAGAAGGTTTACCAGAACCATGGAATCTAACTCAAGAATCACTTTTTTACACCCTAGGTGCCAAGCCAAATTAAGGCATTTTCAAGCTCCCCAAGCTTTAGCATCAAGAGCTCCGGCATTCTCAATATTCCTAGAAAAGCCTCTGATCCAAGAACCATCAAAATCCATGAGGAGACCTCCGCATCCTGCCTCCTGGATCTTAGTTTTTGAAGCCCCGTCTGTGTTGAGCTTTACCCACCCCCATTCCGGAGGTTTCCACCCTACAACCTCCCTAATCAAAGGCTTTGTGTTAGAATTTCTCCTTTCATCACCCTGACTCGCCACCTTCCACCACTCAATTGTCTTGCAGGGCTCATTTGGTCTGGTAAAGGATTCTTCAAATAAGCTCTTATTTCTCCAACACTAGAGACACTAGATAGCGATCGCCCATGTTTCAGACCAGTCATGACTCTCATTTAAATTTGCGAGGCACCAATCTTTCCCTTCTAATAAGAACTTTCCTCTGAAATGAACAGGAACTAACCTTTTTCAAACTTCGGTAGCCACTAGGCAGTCCCTAAGAACATGAATAGATGTCTCTTGAGCTTCCCCACATTCCATACATTTAGGATCACACCCACTCCAAAGAGACCTTCTTTGATTAGTTTAGAGTTTGTCATGTAGAACAAGCCAAACAAAGGTTCTGATTCTTTCAGGGACTTTTAACTGCCAAACTTTCTTCCACCCTCGGGAATCATAGGCTGAGTAGTTGCCCTGAAACAGCTTATAAGCGCTCTTGACACTAAAAGGCCCCATTGCTTTCCCCAGGCCAAACAACAAGATCAGGACCCAGATCATGGGAAGGAGGGGGAAAGTGTGGATGAAATATGTATTTTGTTTTGTTACGTATTTATGTATTGAATATTTTGACAGAAAAAGGAAGCAAAAGGACTTGGGTGATGCAGTAGCCCATGAAAGCCTGGGCCCATCTTATGGCCACGTTCTGGTAAGGCTGTCAATAGGTTGGATTTTAATCCGAATTCAATCCGAATCCGATCCGAATTTTAAGCTGTTTAGCCAATTAAAATGTCCGATGGATTAAATCCGATTATAAATATCTGTAATTAGAAATAAGTGGACCGGATATGAAATTAAGCAATCCGATTCGTTAAAAATCCGAATTCGAATATTTTAATAATAATTTTTATTTAATTAATAATTATATATTAATAAATACTTTAATATATATAATATATGATATTATAATTAATAATGCACTAATTTGTATTTGTGAGATATTTTATTTAATAGAATAATATATATTTTTTCTAAACTATTATATAATATTCTTCTACTTTCCTTAATTTTAGTTTTTCTAGTAGGTATTATTTTTAATAATTAATTATTTTTGAAATTTCATGAAACACTTGAATAAATTGATTATAAAATTTTTTAAGTTCTAATTATAATACAAATAAAACTTGATAATTTTATAAAATATTGGAATCCTATCATCACTTTTGTAATATATTATATAATAAAAGTTCTTCTTTTATCATTCATAAATAACAATTTATTTTAAAATTTATTTATATTTCAATAAAAGAAAAATAATTAAACATAAATCTTACATGAATTTTTATCATTCATATATAATAATTTGTTTGATTTTATATATCTTTTACTTATTGATTATTTGATTTTAATTATTATTAACAGTTATTCAGATCAAATTTTTTTTTGGATTTCGGATTTTTATTAGATTCGGATTCAGTAATAACAAGTAGAAATCCTATAGGATTTCAGATCGGATTCAGATATATACATTGATAATTGGATTTGGATTCGGATTAGTCTGATTTAATCTGAATCTGACCCGTTTACATACCTACGTTCCGGCCCAGTCAATATCTGGTTTGGGCCCAATAGATCACCAACCATCTCCCTTGTCCCGAAAGTTTGACTGGATAATTGGTCCTTTCCTGTAATTATAATACTGGACCCTTCATGCAGTTACAATACGAACGCTTCGCCAGTTTGACTTGAACCTTTACTGGAGTACAGTTCACTCATCCCTTCCTCTCGGCGGAGGTCACGTTTGTGTGATCGAGCCTCGAATTCACACTTGTTTGCTAGCAAACTTACGAAAAATCTGTCCATTTCGATCAACAGAGTTCCAAGGGACCGATGTGATACGACTCGGTTTCCAGGTTTGAATCCGAACAGGTGTCGTCTTGTACTTTCGATGTGGTTGTGGTGGCGGTTGGAAACATCGAGCTCACGATCGGGCGGCATTTTTGCTGTAGTCGGATCTCTCCGTTGCTGTGGTTAATGCGGCCGTTAGGTATTCTGGCACTACCAATGCAGGTTTCGTGTTTATAAGAGTTTTGTTTTAGGTAGACTGCATGCTGAGAAGATTGTACAAGAAAGAATAGAAACAAAGAATCTCGATTTCTTTAGTACTGAGTGCTAGAAATTGAAGTCAAGGAGCATGGAGCAATGTGAATAATGAACTGAATTTACTAAGTTAAGCAAAATATTAATTGTGTTCTGTAAATTTAGGGATAGGATTCCAGTTTGTGTATTCTTGTAATCTCTAATCAAACATAGAGTAGATGTATGACAATTTCAAAGAAATAAAGGTCATTTGTGTTACGTAGGTTATTATTTATGTTAATTGTTACCCGTTCATGCTTTAATCAAATTTGATTGTCTGACCATCCATGCAAATGCACTTCGTGCGACCTCATTGATTTTTACCTGACCGAAAAAATTGGAGACTAAAGGGTCGTTCGGTAAGTAGGATCGGATAAGGTAGGATAGGGCAGGTAGTTGGATAAATTATCCTGACCGCATAGTGATCTGGATAATTATCTTGTTTGATAAAAGTGGTAGAAGTAGTGTAGTAGGGGTAATATTGTCCAAATAAGTTGGGTTGGGGTCGGATAGGGTCGGATAAAATTATCCTACCCCTTCCCCAATATAGTTTATCCGGATTTGGCCATATTATTATCCAATCTCTCTTATACCCGGACCTTATCCGATCCTGCTTTATCCGACCTACCGAACATAGATCTGGATAGGATAAGGGCGGATAAATTATCCTTATCCGCCCTTATCTGGTGTACCTAATGACCCCTAAAATGTAAATAATATGAATTGAATATAGAAGGCTTTTCCATATATATGAATATGAAGAACTATGCTTTCTACTTAGCAAATGTCTCTGGTTTCGGCGGAACTTGCTAACCAAGGGATTGATGTGTTTGAAGTTGTGGATGGAGTTGAAATGCTTGAGTGATTCATACATCTGAATAAAGATTGCTCAAGCATGCTCTGTACTGCATGTTTCTTTTTCTGAATTCCGATTGGTTGTAGCATGTCTTCTCCTTCTTTGGAATTTTAGTTAGTTCTAGGACAGGGCAATCTATGGATGGTTTACAAGAGACCTGGCAGGTAGGACTATAAACGGGTCAAATTCAAATCGAATTAGGATAATTTGAATCTGAATCTGATTACAAATGTATATAATCGAATCCGACCCGACATCTTATAAGATTTCCACCTATCACTACCATGTCTGAATCCGATAAAAATTCAAAATCTGAGTAAAAAAATCCCATCTGAACAACAGTTAATAATAATTAAAATCAAATAACTAATAAGTAAAAAATATGTAAAATCAAATAAATTGTTATTTATGAATGATAAAAATTCATGTAATATTTATGTTTAATTATTTTGATTTTATTAAAATATAAATAAAATTTAGAAATAAATTGTTATTTATGAATGATTAAAAAGAACTTTTATTATATAATATATTACAAAAATTATGATAAAATTTCAGTACTTTATAAAATTATCAAGTTTTATTTGTATTATAGTTAGAATTTAGAAAATTTTGTAATCAATTTATTTAAATGCTTTATAAAATTTTAAAAATAATTAATTATTAAATATAATGCCTAATGAAAAAAACCAAATTTAGGAAAAGCAAAAGAATATTTTAGAACAGGGTTTAGAAAAAATATACATTATTCTATTAAATAAAATGTCTCATAAATATAAATTAGTACATTATTAATTATAATATCATATATATTGCATTACATATAAAAATATCTATTAATATATATATATGATTATTAATTAAATTAAAAATATTTGATTTTAAATTTTAAATAAATCAAATTGGTTAATTCTATATCTAATCACTTATTTCGAATTATAGTTATTTATAATCAGATTTAATATATCAAATAATTTAATAAATTAAAAAGTTTAAAATTTGTATCGATTTAGATTACAATCTAACAATTGATAACCCCACTGTCAGTGATAAATGGTAACTAGCAATGACAAGCCGTACTCTGTGGCAGATGTTGGCAGAGAACTCAGAGGAGGAAGGCATGAGTCCTTTATAGGTGCTCGGTTGGAAAAGAACAAGCATTTAATTTGTTAGGGTAACATAGTATCCTAAAATGCAGAGCAAGTTAATCACTACTCTGGATATTGAATGAGTTTTGCGTCAACTAAGCATGTGATATTGATTGGATTACCGTTGCACTTGTCCAATGTTCATCACCCTCAAAACTAGGAACCATAATTTATTTCTACTTGTTAAATAGAATTTGTAACTGAAAATATGGATTGAAGTTAAGCATCGCCTTTTCTAATTCCTTGATGTAACCATTGAACAGGTTAATTACAACGTTGGAGTTGGTTATTTGGTGTTTTTAAGATTCGGTTAGTACTTGGTACCTCTCGGATTTTATGAGTTGGCATCAGGGTGTGACACAGGCATACAGTTCAAATATGGAACATTGTTGCTATACCAGGAAAATATATATGTATATATATATATATATATATATAGAACTTCAGTAGCACTTATGATGTTCAGGAATTCAAGTCAATAAATATTGACTTCAATTAACCCAATAAATACTTTATCCTCCATAATGAAGCGAACTTCTTAAGAATCGGCTGTGTTAAAGAGAAGGGTGGATAAGCTATCTGATATGGGGTTGAAAGCTGAGTTTTTGTCTTCGTACGATTTGTTGCTGAAGGATCAGTATGGTTAGTGAAGAAGGTGGGGCCGTCTTTTTGTCTGATGGCTACAATTGGTTGCTTCTCCAACAGTTGAATTTATCGAGAAGGGGAAATATTTTCTCCTTTCACCAACGAATAATATTTTTTTTTGAGGTTTTTTTGACCTGTCTGCCATTCACATGCTGGATAGTAACACATTTAAGGTCAACACGAAGGCAAACAGACAAATAAGAATTATTGAAAGAGGGCTGACGAGGATTGTTACAGTCTGACAGGTTCAGTTCTGGTGGTGGGGTGGTCAAAGCTTTTCGGACTTCGGAAAACACCTTGTACAGTAAGAAGGCTGTAGTACTTACTACCTGTTGCTGCAGTGGATCTCTGATGCATCATCTTAATATCCATTTGGATGTCCCAATAAAACCTGGGAATTATTACATGAATCATCGTGATTGGGTCAAAATAAATAAATGAAAGTTTTGAAAAAAATTGTTGTTGACAGTTTTCACAAGAGGGCCAATGAAATGGAATTCTTATCTAGAAAGAAAACGAAGTGGAATTATAATTTCTATTTCGGGTTTGACTAGTCTTATCATCCAACGAAGGCAGGAGGAAACTCTGCTTGTGCTAAAAATTGGAGAGATAAAGTTTTACTTGTATTTTTTTCAAAAAAAATTAATATTTTTCTTTAAATAAATGCTAAACTCTAAATATTGAAAAAAGTAACATAATAAAATATCACATTAGTTTTATCTCTCTGGAAAGTATTTTTCCTCTAAGTAAAATTAATGTTGATTGATGATAGTTTAAATTAAGAAAAATAATTTAAATAGAGATTTGAAATATTCTATGTCTCACATCAAAAGTAAAAAAATGAGAGATTGAAATATAATTAGTATTATTACACATTTTAACATGTTGATCTTTTAAAAAATATATATATAATAAGTTGTAACACTAATGTAAATCGTGTTAGTAAATGATTTTTTTTTTTGAAAATGACTCCTAACACTGAACATTTTTTTTGTGAAAAAAAAAAGACTAAATATCCCAGCAAACAAAACAGCATTGCACACACAAACTAGCATTTGAGCTAGTGACCCAACGGAATTAGTGGGCGTCCTCTACTTCCCATTCCTTCCCCTCCCTTCTCCCTAAACAAATCCTAAAAACCCGTGCTGACACATTTCTTCCACAATCCCAACTCCATCTCTCCCAAATCCTTGTGTACTTTGCTCCACCTCCCATTACTTCTATCCTCTCTTTTGCTCCCGTGTAGCTCTCCAGTGAAACTCGTTTTGGTTCATTTCTTCTCCTCCATCTTTCTCAAACCGATCCTAGCAAAGTTTCCCCAGACTCTGAGGTGGCTCCTCCTCCTCCGTCTCTCTCTTTTTCCGTATCAGGCCCATGAGAGGGATGGAGCCGGGGGAACTATCTCGCGTGTTCCAAATGTTCGACCGTGACGGTGATGGGAAGACCACAAAGGAGGAGTTTAGTGATTCCTTGACAAAACTAGGTATTCCGGAACGGATTTAACGGGCTTAATTATATTTTCTTCCCTTTTGTTTTGTCTTAATTATTATTATTATTTTGAATTAAAGACTCATCCTTCCAAAGTTAAAATGATGAAGTGCCCCCTTACAAATCTTTAAGTACCCATTATATGTATTCTAAGAGAATTTTCTGACATGAAGGTATGCCAATTCAAGATAAGGAACTCTTCCAGATAATAGAGACGATCGACGTGAATGGGGATGGATACGTGGACTTGGAGGAGTTCGGGCAGTTGTACGGGACGTTGCTGGAGGAGAAGGGTGACAAGGAGGAGGAATTGAGGGAGGCGTTCAACGTGTTTGACCAAAACGGTGATGGCTACATCGAGGTGGAGGAGCTGAGGGGGGTGTTACAGTCGCTAGGGTTGAAGCAGGGGGGCACGGTGGAGGACTGCAAGAGGATGATTATGAAGGTGGATGTAGATGGGGATGGGAGGGTGGACTACAAGGAGTTCAAGCAGATGATGGAAGGTGGTGGGTTGTCTGTCTTGAGTTGAAGGTAATATGCATACCTGCATGCATGGTTACGTACGCGAGAAGAAAAGAAGACAGATGGGATATGCATGGTTAAGGTGAGATGAGGAGGGAACCTCCGTAAAAGCCAATACATTTTTGTAGCATGGATGTAATCCCACGTATATTTGTGAGGAGATCATACTATATAAAACTTTTTTGTCTTGTATTCCTTTTTCTTTTTCCCTTTTAATTTTGTTTTTGATTTTGTAATGTGTTCACCTCTCGTTCTTTTCCTTCTTTTGCCCTAAATTGTTGGGTAGAGAAAGTTAGAAACTCCATTTTCCTGCTGGGTTTCTCGGTGTTCATGTAGTATATGCTGCTATAACAGCTCTTCATTTTGCAAAGGAATCCTCCTCTTGTATAGTAGATTATTTTCCTAGTGAACTTTTTCTTTCTATTTTTTCTCTTTGTTTTTTTTGTAATTTTTTTTCCCGGGGGGATGGTGTTGGGGGAAAAGTGTTTTCGAAATTATAACCGAAGTCGTCCTTTAGTACTCAGAAAATAAATTTTTTGTTGTTAGAAATTAGGCACGTTTTTGTAAAACAATTCTCAGGAACTTGTCGAATATATTTATTTTTGTTTTGCAAAATATGATAGTTTGAAAAAGAAAACACAAATTCAAAGAAACAGGAGAACGAAAGGCTATTTTCAGATTTCTTTCTTGATGCACCCAAAAAAAAAAAAGGGGCTTTTTTAAGATTAAGGTAATTCAATCTTATAAAATGGTAGGGTTTTTGATTTGAAGCCATAAGAGACAAAACATCTATTCAGTGTAGCACTCGCACTATGTTATACCAGTAAAACGACAGCGATTTAACGTTAAATAATTTTCTATCATTTTCACAACTATTCTGCGCGAACAATAATAATTTTTTTCTTTATCAATTGTGCATTTACACGTCACCCACTCTCATCAGATCGTCATCGTCCATTTAATGCAGTCTTACGGTGTTTTTATTTTATTTTATTTTATTTTGCAAGAGTAAAGTGGCCATTACATCTGTTAATTGGCCGAATTTCAACCTTATTATAATAAATTTGATTATGAATCTAATAATAGTATTTTATATTTAAATTCAATTTAACATTATATAAAGTTTATGATTGAAAATATCATATTTAAATTCAGATAAATTTTCAATATCTAAAAGAATACTCTACTTCTAAATAATCTTGAATTATTATATATTTATTATTTTATATTTAAAAATTAAAATTCTTATACATATGTACACACACACACATATATATATACACAATCTTTATCAAATTAGATTATATATAATTATATTTTTTTCATTTATTTCAAATTATAAAATTTTTTAAACATAATTCAAATTACAATTTTTTTAAATCAAAATCATGTTGATCAAATCTTTTATAAATTAAAATTCTAAATAATCAAATTAAATTCTAATTAAACTTCACTTTATTAACAGCCCTACTAGTTATCCTCCAACTATTTTACCAGCATGGCAGCAACAATGGAAATATAGAATAGCACAAAAATCTCACCCTCAACACATAGCATTGCAAAAGCCTATCATGCACTCCAGCTTGGGAAATATATAATAGTACGTAGGTCATCCACATGCATGTAACTAAAAGCATGCACATTCAACCCCATTATTAAAGCCAAAATTGGTAAGCCTGCATTCAAAGGCCTCAAAGAGAGGGAAAAAAAGATTTTATTTTTTTTTACACAATTTTTAGTGAAGTTAAGCCTCGTCATCTGAACATTCACTTTCAAGCTCTTTTACACGTTGGACAACACCTTGAACACTTCTTGACAAGTGTTCAGCATGTTCTTCTACATATTTCAACACCATATGCAACTGCTCCTGGTAAGCAGCACATCTGCGCTTGCATCTTTGTCTCTCGTTGTAAAGTTCAAGTGTCAGCTCCCGAATTTTTTGATCCTTTTCATCCTGTAGGAAGTGAAGGGAAAGCCAAAAAAGTGAGACAACTAGGAAAAAAAATTATAAATTAATAGATACATGTCTTAATTCAAAGGCAATGTACATTGGAGTCCATAAATCATGATAATCCACTTCCAGCGCTACAACGCCAAAACGGAGTGTTCAAAATGAGCTAAGGTTGATCTGGTTCAGTTCATCCTGATTTTGATAGACTTTCAAGGGGTAGTCAGCAAAGCTAATTCAGTATTCCAGTCTTCCCCGAGTCTTGCTTAATTTTCTGAGTGTCTTTAAATGGTGTTTTGAATGAAATTACTTGTATCAAATGAACAAGAGCAAAGCATATATTCTTACAACATAACTTCAAAATTTAAGTCACTGCTGCAAAGGGTATATGCCAGAGTGAAATACGTTGTGGGCACAAAACTAAACAATAGGCGGTCAATTCATAAGAGCATTAGAGACAAAAACCGAAGGTCAAGAACATGGACTACAACTACCTTGGTCACTGCTAGCCCTTCTACAAACCTTACACAAAAAATTTCAAAAACCTTAAGATCCCAGAACCGTCAAGAAACAGACTTCTTAAAGTGAAAAATTATCATAAGTCTTTAGTAAATGCCAAAAGGGAGAGATCAGATGTTAGGAAGAATTTCTCTCTGTAAGAATACACAGGCATGGCAGAAACATGGTTTGCAATCAAAGTCCTTACGGCAGTAGAAAAATGGAAAAAGTATCTTAAGGCAAATTTTGGACAATCTCAATCATATGTTTTGAGTCTAGATTATCCCAAATGCATACAAATAGATTACCAAATATAAGTATTTCGTTCTTAGCCCACACAAAAACCTGAGAAACTATTTTCTTTTTAAAGAAAAAAGGACACATACCTCACTGATCAAATTTTTTACAGATCCTCGCCAAGGAACTTTACTCGGAGACATTAAACTGTGATTGTGATCTTTTACAAATTTGGTAATGACCCACTTAACTCCATCCCTCAGAGCTACCCTGAGCATTGCAGGACAGCCTTCACGAGTGATAGGAGGTGGAGGAAGAACCCTGTCTTTCCTGTATACATATTTCTTTTCACGAAAACCTTCTTTTGAACAGACAAAATCTTGACCAATAACCATGTTATTTATTCGAGACCTCCGATTATGATGAATGCGTACAGTAAAACCCGTACGCCTACCATAAGCAACATAATACTCTCGAGCCTCATCTCTTGAACAGAATTCCATGCCAATGTGTGGTTCTATAGCATTGCCAGTTGAAGAATTTCTGACAGATTGTTCTAATATCTTGTCGTCTTCACTGATGCTTAGGTCTTCACTGATGCTTAGATCTGCCCCTTTGGAAAGTTCATCATCAGTGAAATCATTCTGATTGTAGCTTTCAACTGGCAAGCAACTTTCACCTTCATGCAAACCAAATGTTTGACTAGATGTTCCCTCCATAAGGACCATTATTTAGAGAAGCCGTTTATCCATCTTCTGAGAGCTGTGAGTAATAGAAAAAAATTAGGAAGGAAACTCTATTCTAACTGCCTCCTCTAAAATTATGTATGCAAGACAAACAACATTGTACTATCACTTCATAAGCCAAAAAAATTATACGGCAAAATGATGAACCCAAAAAGTTTTAAAGAGCAAAGGCATGTTAAGACGAAGAAACTAATTTTGACCAGAATATGCTTATTATATCCTGTACAAAGCCTCAGACTTAGTTCCCGAAATGGTACGTTAAAGTCTGAATCTCAAACAACGCAGAACATTAAGCTTATTTTCTTATTCACCAGAAATTTAGAGTTTTGGTTTTCTTTTATTTAATGTAAATACTTCTCTGAGAGATACACGATACCTGTAACAAAATTTTCTCTCAAAGATTGTGTTAATATTTACAGCAGTAACAGGTAGCAATGAAATTCATAACCCTTACTGTGATTCCGGGGACATAATTCAAAAGTCATTTCACATTAGATTACGTCAAGGACCAAATACCATGAATATATAGTAGTTACCAATTAAATTTAGTGAACTTGCGGCTGCCAAAGCAGTTTTCTCCTTCTAGATAGACGTTTCATCACTCCAAAACAATCAAATGCTCTTATTCCAAAAAGTTGGCTCCAGTGGCAAACCAATGTCTGAGTTCAGATCCGTAAGCAATTGGTTCGAAGTAATCATTTCTTGGTAGGCAAACAAACGCAACTCTCCTCAGGGTTTAAAGAAATTAAGGGAAAACACAAGCAATCGAAGAGTACTCTCGACTGAACATCAAAATCAGTTAGGTAGCCTCGGCTAAAGTTTCATCGTTGACGTAGGGAATGAACAAAAGAAAGCATAAGGTTGAAGATATGGAACGATGTTTAGTTTCATTCCTATTTCTCTCAACCAAACGGATGATTTCGGCGAACCAGGAGTTGAAAAGTGCTCGTTTCAGCGATATTCGAAGAGTTGTCGATCAGTAAAACAGAGGTTTTATTCGACGGTCGAATTCAAAGGACAGACAAAGGATAATAATTGATTAGATCGGACTTACCAGTATAAACCCTAGCACTCGGAGATCAAACATATTAGGCTGAAGGGTTTGATAGACTCTCTCTTTCTCTCTCTCCCCAGATCTCCTCCGTCCAGAGTCGAAGTGATTGTCGGCCGAAGAGGGTGGGGGTCTATTGAGTCTCAAGTGTCGCACCCACAGAATGGTGGGATCTAGGTCAAGCACCTGACCGGTTTTGGAAGCCAGGGAGAGCTGCAATCAGGTAGACCGCGGAACACAACCAGCTGATGTATATTATCCGATCATTGCGCTTCATAGAATCATAGTGGTGACTGGAGACACCAGAGTTCAGCGAGTGGCAAAACTCCAGTGAAAATACTACTTTGACCCTGGCTTCTGCGGATGCAATTGGAAAGCCTTATTTCTCTTTAAAACCTTTTTCCCACCTCTAGAATTTTTACACGATTTTTTATATTAGAATCGTTCAAATTTTTTCAAGATATATGAAAAAAAATATTTTTTAAAAATAAAAATATTCAAATTTTACAACTAACCATAGAAAAATTATTTAAATTGCAATTTTTCAATTCGATTTTGACCCTTAGAAACATGAAATAAAAAGATTATTTGACAAATGTTTCTCAACCATCTTGAATTAAAGGTGGTAATTAATTTTATATGTTGTGTTTGCTTCAAATTTCTTTCACATTAAAAAATTTTGTTGTTTATAGAAAAATAAAATTAATTATATCAAATTTGTATAAAATATTCATGTATTTTTTAATAAATATCAATTGTATTAATATCAATATATTATAATTCAGATTATCACTCTATATACGTGTGTGTTTCATTATTGTTCGTATTTTTCCTTAGTGATTATTATACAAGTTGGGAAAAGAATTTTAAGAATTACAAGATAATCCCAAGAAAGGTTTTCATCAAAAGGATTTTGAATTGGGACCGAAAACAAACAAGAAAGTCAATCCATGAAAATATCTGTCAAATCAGATATAATTGTTATGACGTAAGTTTAAAAATATGCATCGAACCCTCCTGAAGGTTCCTCAAAGTTCATAGAACCCGGAGCCTTCTACGCTAGATTGCCCGTTTTCCACCAAAGGTCATGATACATGAGAGAGAGAGAGAGAGAGAGAGAGAGAGAAAGGAATGTCTTCTCACTCATAGATGCTCTAATGGTGGCCAAGAGCGTTAAGCACTTCACTTTCTACGAGGGTGCTTGCAAACGAGCTTGGGAAGTGCAAAAGACCCAAAATCACTTATAAGGTGTTTATAAACTGCTTACTACTTAATTTCAAGTTTTTTAAAATTAATTTTATTTTTAAAAAGATTAATTTAGAGAAGTCAATATTTTGATACTTTTAACTTCAGTAGTATATTTGTAAATAAATAAAAACTGTCTTATAATATTTTTGGATAAAATTATCCTTAATTTTTTTATGTAATTTCTAGATTATTCTTACCACTTTCCCTCATCTCCTTCCCTCTCCTCTCTCCTTCCCCCTTCACCCATCACCGATAGCACCTCCAAAGACTGCTGCTGCATGCGGCGGCGACGTTAGCTGCACGCAACAGCCCGCAGACGGCCACTGCATTCTATTGCCGCACATAGTGCCTCCAGGTAGTGCTGCTGCGTGCGGCCTCTCCAGACAGAGGACCTCGCCGCCACGTGCAGCGCAGAGGCGGCTATCACCGCATGCAACGGCTCGCAGATGGCCGTTGCATTTCATTACCGCACGCAGCGGCTCCAGACAGTGTCGTTGCAATGACTACATGCAGTGGCTCCAGACTCTGCCGCTGCGTGCGGCAGCGACCTGCAAATAACCATTGCGTGCGGCCCTACATGCAACGGCCACCGTAGCAGGCGACTGTGTGTGGCGGTCATTGCACGGTGGGGGGGGGGGAGGAATAAAAAAATTAAAAAAAAAAATAAAAAATATATTTATAAGGGTAAAATTGTCATTTTCATCTTAAAAGTTTCTCCACATTATTTTACAAAAATTATTCTCAAACACTATTTTATTAATTTCGAAAACTTTTTTAACACACCTTCCAAGCCCATCCAACTTCTCATTAAAATTAATTTTACTCACTTATATTTAAAACACTTACTCACAATTTTATAAAAGCATTTGCAAACACCCTCTATATCTTTTGACATTTTTAGGCCCTGTTTGGTATACCCGTTTTCTATTTTCATTTTCATTGAAAACAGAAAACGATGTAGAAAACATGTTGGTAGACTGATTTTTGTTTCCATTTTCTGAGAATGTTTCCTGAAAAGGGTGAAAAGTTGTTTCCAGCCTTTTCTGTTTTAAATGAAAAGGCAGTGACATTCTTGTAATTATAAGGATTTTCAGTATTTTTTTGGTTTGTTTTATTCTTTTGCTACTGTTCACCTACTTCTCTTTCCATCTTCGCTAGAAAAGCTGCGCCTTCAGTCTGTTGACTAGCGAAACCTTTCCAAGCAAATCGAGCACGACAGACAGAGTTCAACCGTTGTCTTTGTTGAGCTCGTCCATTGGTTTTGCGAATGGAACACAATAGACAAAGCCTGTCCGTCAGCTCTGTAATACAGAGCTCGACGATCGAGCTCTATTCCCAGATTATCCGTTGAGCTTTGAGCTTGTCGGACCACTCATTTGTTTTTCTTGGTTTCATTTTCTTCCTGCTCGAACTTCATTGCTTGGATTTGTAGTTTGGCCATGATTTGGATTAGAACTCGTCGGATCAACATGTCACTGAAATTCACAGTTTGGAGTAGCAATTACTTCAAATTGATTGTGGCATTTTGTAGTACGGATTACATAGATTGAAAGCGTGTAAAAAATTTTTGGAAAAAAGTTAGAGAAGACAGCAAATCTAATTCGGGTTGTGATCGAGTCTATTGGATCCGATTGCGACCCAACTGAGGTTGGGGACGAACTGTAGCAATTTTCTGAAATTGCTACTTAGTCCTTCATACTCTTTAGGTTTTGTTTTTAAATTCCAAAATTTTTAATTTATTTAATTAAACTTTTATAAAAAATCCTAAAATTTCAATTTCATTCAATTAGGTCACTATTTTCAATTTATTGAAAATAGGCTAATCAAACATATTTTCTTTGTTTCCATTTTTAAAAAATAGAAAATAGCAAATCTTACCAAACATGTTTTCTAAATTTGAAAATTTTGAAATGGAAATTACTTTTCAAAAAATGGAAATAGAAAAGGAAAAGGGAAAACATTTTCACAAACCAAACAGGCCCTTAACTTCTGTGTTTTTAATGAGAATACTTCAGTTTGTTCCTCAATTCTACTTTCCAAAAAACATTACTATATGCTCTCTGTAATCCTGGCGCTCCAATTCCATAGTTCTTGGATCCTCAAATTCTTGGTATCCAAAAGCAAATCACCAGAAAAATATAAGTTTCAAATTTAGGAGTTCTCAAATATATGACATTTATAAAGAGTGAATGCAGCCTTAAAGATTAGATTGACGGCAAATATGTCTTCATTGACAGAAGGGTAAGAGAGAACGTGTTACTACACAAGGCTGACTTGAGTGAGGCAAATTGTGTGTATGTTTTCGCATGTGCACGCCCACAAACTGATAAAATGAGAGAGCAATCTGAACCCAGAATTCCAAACCAATATTCAAATCGAGCTCCCACATAAGCTCTCCTACAAAAGGAAGTTCTCCACTTAGTGGGTAACGGAACTTTACCAGACTTCTCCAAACATACAAATTTAGATACGAAGTGCCAGTTTCTTGAGAGTTTGCCATTGAAGCCAATAAAGGAACCGGAGAATTTGTTGAAGCTTTCGACTGAAGAAGAAAGCACCGAGACTGAGGAATCAAATCAGAAAATCTATGAAAATTTGGTGGTGAGAATCAGAGAAGAAGAAGCTGTGAATCAGAGAGATTGAAACAACCTATGATTTTCTGGTAATCTTCTGATAGTCATCT